AAGCTTCCCCCCGGGGGGGGGGGGGTTCTGCATCTCAGACTCAACATGGCCAAAATCTAACTCCTAATATTCCCTCTTGAAAATTACGCCTACAAGTGACTTCCCCATTCCAGTTAATGGCATCTCCCTCCTTCCAGCTGCAAAGGCCAAAACTTAGACAACTCCCCTCTCTAGTCAGAAAGTTTTGTTGGACCTACTTTAAAAACAAATCCAGGGCTTCCCTGGTGGCGCAGTGGCTGAGAGTCCACCTGCTGATGCAGGGGACAAGGGTTCGTGCCCCAGTCCGGGAGGATCCCACATGCCGCGGAACGGCTAGGCCCATGGGCCGTGGCCGCTGAGCCTGCGTGTCCGGAGCCTGTGCTCCACAATGGGAGAGGCCGCGACAGTGAGAGGCCCGCGTACCGCAGAAGAAAAAAAAAAATCCACAAATCCCCATCCACAGTCACTACCCTGATCCAGCCACCAACCTGGTCCAGCTGTCACCACACTCATCTAGAGTACTGCAGAAGCCTCCCTCACTCCTACTGTCTGCTCTCCACTCTGCAACCAGAGAAAGTCTGTTTAGACCTGATTCAGACCCTCTTCTACTCCAAAACTTCCATGGCTCCCAGTGTCCCCAAAATAGAGGCACAGTTCCTCAGCCTGCCATTTCAGGCCTGACTCCTGCACCCCGGCTCTCTGATCCCGTAAGACGTAATGGAGAACTGGGGTTGCCACTCAGTCTCACCTCTAAGCATTTGCACATGGTGATTCCCCTACATTTAATACTTTCTACAGGACAGACTATTAGTGACCAGAAACCAGGGACCCCTCCATATAACCCCTGGCCTGGATTCAGGGTCTTGAGTCTGAGGAGAGGCCTCAGAACCAATGACAACAGTAGAGTGGCAGGCAGGGGGTCCCAGGACACATCCTGGAGACCATGAGTGGGAGATGGGGAGAGTGAGGTCCTGAGCCAATCTTTACTCACCTATACATTGCTCATTAAGTGCTTCTGAAGCCATGGAAACCTGTAGGAAGAGTGAGACTATGAGTGAAGGGCATCCATGGTGGGGTCTCAAGGGCTGATCCAACCTCCTATGCCTATCCTGAAGCAAGATGACCTGACTTTAACTTCTGGGCTTCAGTCCTTGGTGCTACCTCTTAATAGCTGTGTAACCTTAAACTAGGACTCAAATCTTCCTGTGCCTCCGTGTTTTTATCTCTAAAATGGGCATAAAAATGGTACCAAGCTCATAGGGCTAATGTTGGTATCATATGCCTTAGTGTATGTCAAGCGTTAAATATGCGCTATAACTACCATCCACAAAACTAAGGCTTTTGTCAATGTTTTCAGTGCAAATGACTTAATGGATTTTGAAATTTTAGATGTGTGTTATGTTTCCCTTTGGAATATTTGAGAAAATGTAATATTTAAGACTTTTTAGTGTCTTAATATACTGCTTTATGGTATATTAAGGTGTGAACCAAATATTAAGTGTTTGCATAAACTTGTTAAATTCATACATCTCAGTGTTGAATTGAAATGCCTACCTATACCTACACATTTAGAATACTGATCTCTCGGTGTTGAAATGAGTGGTTGTTTCATAAACTCCTAGTTAAAAATGGGGAAAGAGGGCTGAGTGGATGCTAGTTTTTCTATCCTTTAAAATCTT